CGACATCGTGCACGGGTATCAGCCGATGATCGGAGACATTGAAGTGGAGGTCGCGGAAGGGTCCGTGCAAGAGGCAGCGCAGCGTAGACGAAGCAACGACGTCCGTCTCATGTGGCGGCAACTGCAACAAGCATAACAAACTCCAATTAGATATATGTATATGCGTGTGTCGCCAATTGGCATTCAAATTGGAATTAAATATTGGGAATTGGAATTGGATTCAGCACCTTGATTTTGCCATTGGCCGCAGAGAACATTTGTCAGAGAGCAGTGCACAAGGAAAACAATAATATTAACTACTAGAAAAACCACATAACACGCTCAGCGGCGTCAACTTGTAATATATGTATGTATGTTTGTATATACACAGCACAACACAACAAATAATAATAAAAATAAAAATAAATAATAAAAAAAAAGCAACAAAAACTTTCAACACGCGTGCGTCGCGTCGCGTTGGGCAGCGGCAAAAAAAAATTTGAGGGGAGCCAAACGAAAAAAAAAGAAAAGACATAAACGCAGCCGAAACAAAATATATACAGCTGAGGCAACGATGCTTATGATTTTGTTATTTATCTTGTTTAATTAATATGTTTGTGCCACATGCACAAAACATTATGCTGCGGCTGCGCCTTCACTTTGCATTTCACTTGCCCAATGCGGCAACATTGCGACAGCAGCAGCCAGCAGCCAGCAGTCAGTAGCAGCAAAAACAATAACAATAACAACAACACGCAAAATCAGGCACAACCGCAATTTAATTTTACTTAAACGACTCGCTCGCTCGCAACTGGCGCCGCTCTCCAATTGGTCCATGGAGACGATCAGTTTGAATCAGCTGTGTCTAACTGGCCGCTCTGAACGGCACGCTAGGTGGCAACGTACGCGCACAGTGCTGCCAGACAGCCCAGCCGGCGGGAGCACGGCAACACTGATGCGCATTGTTAGGCAACACTGGCTGTACAGAAGCAGCAGATGCAACCACAAGCCACTAGAAAAATGGAAAAATTATAACGTTTAATATATACACTACACACACAACCCACACAGTAACACAAAATTTTACATTAATAAGCAGGTAAGTTTGGTCTTATGAAACACATGTTAGTCTTGCAGCAAAACAATGGCCAACAATTATGCCGCCGCCTGTATATGTATACGCGTGTTTGCTTGTGTGGGCCTGTCGGCAGAAGCAACGACAGCGAAGAGAGAGGGAGAAAAAATGTGCCGCTGGCGCTGCCGGTGTCTCGCATCGCAATCTATGTACATATGTATGTATGTAAATTCAGCGGCGATTGGAGCAGACAATGTCAAAAGAATAGACGAAAATTGCAGTGGACGCAACGTTTGTTATTATTATTATTTAATTTGAATTTGCATACTTAAGTGATGAGCATGTGTGTACAATAATGTTTGTGTTTTCCTCTCGCTTCTAGAATTCATGCGTTTGCTGTACTGAATTCAACGAACTTCGCAACAGGAACAACAACAACTACAATAGCCCAACTACGACAGCAGCAGAGGCAAGAGGTACAGTAAGAGAACGGTATGCATTTAACAAATAACATTTAACAAGAAAAAGCATGAAGACTAACCCAAAACTCTCTTTTGCTCTAGGCGCTAATATTTTGGTTGAAATTTTAGTTTTTATTCCTTTTCTGTTGGTTTATTTTCTATTTCTCTTTGTATTTGTTTTGTTTTACTGCATAGATAGCATAGATATGTCACACACCATTTTGCTGGTACAGCCGGGCGCGCGGCCCGAGACGCGAACCTATTGCGATTATGAGAGCGTCAATGAGTGCATGGAGGGCGTCTGCAAGATCTACGAGGAGCATCTGAAGCGACGAAATCCGAACACGCCCACCATTACGTACGACATCAGTCAGCTGTTCGATTTTATCGATACGCTAATCGACATTAGCTGTCTGGTCTATCAAAAGAGCACCAATACCTACGCGCCCTACAACAAGGACTGGATCAAGGAGAAGATCTATGTTCTGCTGCGGCAGGCGGCGTTCAGTCCAAATGCCTGAGATGGCCTCCACTGCTGACTAGCCAAACACAACCAAAAAAAAAAAAAACCATCATAGCCTAATATCACAGTTTCAATGGGTCTAAGATATAAAAGCAACACAGCAACAACAACAACAACAACAGTAAACAAGAAAGTGCGGAAAGAGATACTGCATTGATTCAATAATCATCAATCAATAACTTCAGTCATTTGCAGCTAATTGTGAATTGAATTGTGAAAAAGCAAATGAGAAGGAGAATAATATTCATTTACTAGCAGCAGTGTGAGATGATGGGACAGACGAATATTGGATTCTAATTTCAATCTTACCTGAACGTAGGCAGCGAGTGTATTACTTCTGCCATTTTTTTGTTGTTTTTTTTTTATAGATATATATAT